TTTTTTTTTGCGTTCGTTTGTGTTGTGTTTAGTTTTGTTCTGTTCTGTTCCCAAGTTGGTACATTTAAAAAAGACTTACCGTGACGGAGCACGGTTATGCATTTCTTTTTTTTTTCATAGTAAGGAAATAAATAACGGACTCTCACTGAAACGCAACTATTGATGTTATCTTTAAAAAATGTATTCCAAACTATATCAATCGTAAAATTTATATATGCTTCAGGCTATATCTTAAAATAGACCCAAGCTTACAGTTGTATGTGATTTACTTGATGAATAAAAACAACTGTACACACCGGATCCACGATAATGTAGGCCAGCATAGCAACCAGATGAGCCGAGTCGAGATGGGAAGGTTATGGGGCAGAGAAGTCTTCTGGATTGGAAGGTTATGGGGCAGAGAAGTCTTCTGGATGGGAAGGTTATGGGGCAGAGAAGTCTTCTGGATGGGAAGGTTATGGGGCAGAGAAGTCTTCTGGATTGGAAGGTTATGGGGCAGAGAAGTCTTCTGGACGGGAAGGTTATGGGACAGAGAAGTCTTCTGGATGGGAAGGTTATGGGACAGAGAAGTCTTCTGGATGGGAAGGTTATGGGGCAGAGAAGTCTTCTGGATTGGAAGGTTATGGGGCAGAGAAGTCTTCTGGATGGGAAGGTTATGGGACAGATAAGTCTTCTGGATGGGAAGGTTATGGGGCAGAGAAGTCTTCTGGATGGGAAGGTTATGGGGCAGAGAAGTCTTCTGGATTGGAAGGTTATGGGGCAGAGAAGTCTTCTGGACGGGAAGGTTATGGGACAGAGAAGTCTTCTGGATGGGAAGGTTATGGGACAGAGAAGTCTTCTGGATGGGAAGGTTATGGGACAGAGAAGTCTTCTGGATGGGAAGGTTATGGGGCAGAGAAGTCTTCTGGATGGGAAGGTTATGGGACAGAGAAGTCTTCTGGATGGGAAGGTTATGGGGTAGAGAAGTCTTCTGGATGGGAAGGTTATGGGGCAGAGAAGTCTTCTGGATGGGAAGGTTATGTGACAGAGAAGTCTTCTGGATGGGAAGGTTATGGGGCAGAGAAGTCATCTGGATGGGGCTGAGAACTTTTGGAGTTTTACCAATGAACTCTTAGGGTAGATTGTACAGCACCGCGACAAAAAAAAAGCTGTCAAAAGCACTCGAACCTACTAGGCTGTCGTTGACTAACTTGATGCTTTAGAAAGTGTTAGCACACGTAGGCGAATTATACACTTGTTAATTTACTCGTTAGAGTTTTTTTATGAGCGTAATATCAGGAGCCAATAGTTTCGTGAGTTCATTTGTCGGAGGCCAGTTTATAGTAACGTTTAGTCCAGTTCTCTGCTAGTATAGTCGGCGGCCAGTTTTGTCATTTGCCGTGTGAACAGTTTTGTCATTTGCCGTGTGAACAGTTTTGTCATTTTCCGTGTGAACAGTTTTGTCATTTGCCGTGTGAACAGTTTTGTCATTTGCCGTGTGAACAGTTTTGTCATTTGCCGTGTGAACAGTTTTGTCATTTTCCGTGTGAACAGTTTTGTCATTTGCCGTGTGAACAGTTTTGTCATTTGCCGTGTGAACAGTTTTGTCATTTTCCGTGTGAACAGTTTTGTCATTTGCCGTGTGAACAGTTTTGTCATTTGCCGTGTGTACAGTTTTGTCATTTGCCGTGTGAACAGTTTTGTCATTTTCCGTGTGAACAGTTTTGTCATTTGCCGTGTGAACAGTTTTGTCATTTTCCGTGTGAACAGTTTTGTCATTTGCCGTGTGAACAGTTTTGTCATTTGCCGTGTGAACAGTTTTGTCAATATATGTGGTTTGATAGTGTGGATAGAGATGTGATTTGTCAGTGGGGACAAAGCTATCATTTGAAAGTTGATTAGCCACTATGAGATGTGATTTGTCAGTGGGGACAAAGCTATCATTTGAAAGTTGATTAGCCACTATGAGATGTGATTCGTCAGTGGGGACAAAGCTATCATTTGAAAGTTGATTAGCCACTATGAGATGTGATTTGTCAGTGGGGACAAAGCTATCATTTGAAAGTTGATTAGCCACTATGAGATGTGATTTGTCAGTGGGGACAAAGCTATCATTTGAAAGTTGATTAGCCACTATGAGATCAATAAAAAAATCATGATCATCCGAATCCCCAACTATCAATTTTGCACTCTCCATCGTGACCTATCTATCGTGCACTAGTGTGACCTATCTATCGTGACCTATCTATCGTGACCTCTGTATTGTGACCTATCGAGCACTATTTATTGTGACCTATCTAATTGACCTATCTATCATGACCTATTTATTGTGACCTATCTATCGTGACCTATCTATGGTGACCTCTGTATTGTGACCTAATGTGCACTATTTATTGTGACCTATCTATCGTGACCTATCTATCATGACCTATTTATTGTGACCTATCTATCGTGACCTATGCATTGTGCCTTAACATTGTTGCCTTCGGTCTCCTACAGAGATTCAGAATTTCAAACGCTACGTTGATACATCTATCTATCTATCTATCTATCTATCTATCTATCTATCTATCTATCTATCTATCTATCTATCTATCTATCTATCTATCTATCTATCTATCTATCTATCTATCTATCTATCTATCTATCTATCTATCTATCTATCTATCTATCTATCTATATATAATTCTCTTCATGGGGACCATGCGAGACACCACGTAAGCGCACGCCCTTTCTCCCCCGCTCTCTCGGCATATAGCTACCACCTCCACCATTCTGGTGAGCTAAGGTTCACCCCAAATATTTACAATCGTACAGCCGGGTCGAATTAGTGACGGCTATTAGGGGCAGATAATTTAGCTTTTAAACGATTTGAAACTAAGGAGAGGTAAGAAGTTCTGTTTGATCTGTTCATTGTCGTCCGTAAACTGTCGTCACGTACGGGGGTGGGGGGGGGGGGAATGGAAGGGAGGGTAGTGTCGAATTCACTATCTATGAATTTCGTTTGTTCTATTTGGATTGCTTCAGAATTTCAAACGCTACGTTGATACATTTGTTTTATTTGGATTGCTTCAAACGCTACGTTGATACATTTGTTTTATTTGGATTGCTTCAAACGCTACGTTGATACATTTGTTTTATTTGGATTGCTTCAAACGCTACGTTGATACATTTGTTTTATTTGGATTGCTTCAAACTGTGAAGATTTAACTTTTGAATTTGTAGCGGTGGTTTCAGATCATGATCTCTGTACATAGGCCTATTCCAATAATCTTGTGTTATTATTTTGGTAACTAAAAAAAAATCTAAAACAATGTTTTTTTTTCGTAGTGACATTATTAGAAAAATAAAAACAAAGTGGTATTTTCTGTCAATGCGCTCAAAAGTTTTAAATTTGTTAAAACTGTCGCTCATGAAAATAATGATTGAATAAAAAGTAGAAAATAAATTATACACTACTATTTAAATAACTATAAAGAAAAGCGTGGTTCACTTTAGTATCTATTGGTTACCTTTACTAATATTTAGGAAGAGACCCACGCTTTTCTTTATAGTTATTTAAATAGTAGTGTATAGTTTATTTTCTACTTTTTAGTGCATTATTACATAAAAGCTTGTTATTAAAACGTTTTTTATTTAAAAAATTCAGTACTTTACATGTTTTATTTACAATAGAGTTACATGACTAAAAACCATTGCACGTCTATTGAACGTGATGGCGCAGCTATTGAACCTGATGGCGTAGCTATTGAACGTGATGACGCGTGTGGTGTGGTTGGATAGACATGCCTACATTTTTCGGTCCAAATTTTAATTAATTCATAAAAAAACTAATTAGGCATCCAATTAAATCAAATTTAATTTGATATTTATTTTCTACTTTTTAGTGCATTATTACATAAAAGCTTGTTATTAAAACGTTTTTTATGAAATTTTTCTGTCGTACTTTACATGTTTTTATTCACAATAGAGTTACATGACTAAAAACCATTGTGCGCCTATTGAACGTGATGACGCGCTATTGAACGTGATGACGCGTGTGGATTAGTTGGATAGAACTGCCTACTAATTTGGTCAAAATTTTAATTAATTCATAAAAAATTAATCAGGCGACCTATTAAGTCAAATTGAATGTCACGATGCATTGTCTTCATGTCTTGACCTACGTACCAATTACGAACCGTATCTGCCAAGTAGAAGTGCCTGCAATTTCGCTCCTACGTTTCGATCTAGACTGACGACAGACAGAGGAAGTGAGTTAAATAAAAGCTTGTAAAAAAATTCATTTAAAAAATTCACAAAAAACGTTTTAATAACAAGCTTTTATGTAATAATGCACTAAAAAGTAGAAAATAAATTATACACTACTATTTAAATAACTATAAAGAAAAGTGGGTCACTTTAGTATCTATTGGATACCTTTACTAATGTTAAGGAAGACACCCACGCTTTTCTTTATAGTTATTTAAATAGTAGTCTATAATTTATTTTCTACTTTTTAGTGCATTCTTACATAAAAGCTTGTTATTAAAACGTTTTTTTTATGAATATTTTTTCATTACTTTACATGTTTTATTTACAATAGAGTTACATGACTAAAAACCATTGCGCGCCTACTGAACGTGATGGCGCAGCTATTGAACGTGATGACGCGTGAGGTGTGGTTGGATAGACATGCCTACTAATTCGGTCCTGATTTTAATTAATTCATAAAAAATTAATTAGGCATCTAATTAAGTCAAATTTAATGTCACTATGCATTGTCTTCATGTCTTGACCCACGTGCCAACCGTGAATCGTATCGGTCAAGGAGAAGTGTCCGAATTTTCACTCCTGCGTTTCGATCTAGACAGACTACAGACTGACGACAGAGGAAGTGAGTTAAATAAAAGCTGGTAAAAAAAGTAAAGCACACACGAAATTGTGGTCTAGATGATATAACCAATCAAAGTTTTCAAAATGATAATACCAGGTGAAAATGCTTGTTTAAAAGTAAACAGAAATTGAGCTGCAAAGTCAAATATTAGTTCTTAGCGTTGCAAAGTTTATTACATAAATTATTTAAATACCACATTTTTTAAATTTGTAAATTTTAAAAACTTTAAATTAAAAAAAAAAAAACACCTGTAAGGCTGCTGAGAAAACATAGAAAAACCACTGGTCTCTAGCAACACTAATGATCTTGTGTGTGTGGTCTCTAGCAACACTAATGATCTTGTGTGTGGACCACTAGTCTCTAGCAACACTAATGATCTTGTGTGTGTGGTCTCTAGCAACACTAATGATCTTGTGTGTGGACCACTAGTCTCTAGCAACACTAATGATCTTGTGTGTGTGGTCTCTAGCAACACTAATGATCTTGTGTGTGGTCTCTAGCAACACTAATGATCTTCTGTGTGGTCTCTAGCAACACTAATGATCTTCTGTGTGTGGTCTCTAGCAACACTAATGATCTTGTGTGTGGTCTCTAGCAACACTAATGATCTTGTGTGTGGACCACTAGTCTCTAACTTGTGAATGTCATGCTTACCCGTGCTACTTGTGGCTCCAACAATTTAAACTTCCATATTTGACCTAAGAGCAACGCCTAACAAAATTAAAGAAAAACCCTCAAGAAAAAACACCGCCTCTTTAAAAAAAAAGGCCACTCACTCCCTCCCTACTTCTGATTTTCTAAATCAATTAGCAGCCTTCTAGCCAGTAGTTGGGATCATTGTTTGGGATCATTGTTTGGGGTCATTGTTTGGGATCATTGTTTGGGATCATTGTTTGGGGTCATTGTTTGGGGTCATTGTTTGGGGTCATTGGTCGCTTTAGTGTAACAGCTTCCAGTAACTGATGACACAGCTCACATCATGCATGTCCTGCCGCATGTCCTGCCGCATGTCCTGCCGCATGTCCTGCCGCATGTCCTGCCGCATGTCCTGCCGCATGTCCTGCCGCATGTCCTGCCGCATGTCCTGCCGCATGTCCTGCCATTTCTGTTCATTTGGCTCGAGGCTAGCACTGTACGTCGTCTTGCAGGTCTGAGACTTCTTCTTTAGACCGGATTGGATCGTATTCAACTCTTAAGGGAGTAAAGCTCATCTCAATGCCGTTCGTGTTCTCAGCTGGTGGGGAAAATTCTCTAAAGCCCCGGAGCTCGCTTGTGCTGGAGCATAGGGGAGGCTCGCTGCCCTGCGTGCAGAGCCGGTATTGTGCCTGGGGGCGCAGGGGCGTGGTTTCACCCGGGGGGACGTGGGCGCAGTGGCAGCAGGGAGCTGTGAGGAGAGATTGGTTGTTGGTGACAAGAGTGTGGCTCCCATGGAGAGCTCCACAATGGAATGTGTCGCCGGTCTCGATGGAATTTGTCAGCTCGTCTTGCTGCTGGCTGGCCTGGGGCGACATGAGGTATGCGATCTGTGTGGCGGTGTACTGGTCCCGGTCACAGTACATGAACCGTGCCAGAAGGTTGAGATTACGGTCAAAACAGATGAGGATAATTGGCTCAACCATCGCCTCCGTCCACGCTATAAAGCTGAAAGCTTGATAAACCTGCAACAAATAGGAACTAGTCATTAGTTTCGGCCACGCCTCCTTGTTGTACATCTCTAGAAATAATCTCTTGTCATAATTCTAAAACAACAGTTATAAAACACAAGCACGGTAACATCAACAGTTACAAGCATAACATCAACAGTTACAAGCATTACATCAACAGTTACAAGCATAACATCAACAGTTACAAGCATTACATCAACAGTTACAAGCATAACATCAACAGTTACAAGCATAACATCAACAGTTACAAGCATAAAATCAACAGTTACAAGCATAACATCAACAGTTACAAGCATAACATCAACAGTTACAAGCATAACATCAACAGTTACAAGCATAACATCAACAGTTACAAGCATAACATCAACAGTTACAAGCATAAAATCAACAGTTACAAGCATAACATCAATAGTTACAAGCATAACATCAACAGTTACAAGCATAACATCAACAGTTACAAGCATAACATCAACAGTTACAAGCATAACATCAATAGTTACAAGCATAACATCAACTGTTACAAGTAGAATCGTCACGTTTCAGCCATCATGTGTTTTATTTTTTTAAACAGCCACACCCATGGTTAGGGGTCTAAACTGACGAGATACCTTATTTCGATGCATAATCTATAAACATAGCAAATTTTCCTGGAAATATGGTGCCAAAATTTCTAGCAATCATTAAGGTTTTTTTTTCTAATCAACGCGTCAGACTCGTTACACTTAGCAGGCAGAGAGCCCACACTAGGCAAATTATAGACCATCCTCTACGACCTAGTCGGGGTCGAAACAAAAACTCCTTGTATAAGCTTATAACAAAAACTCCTTGTATAAGCTTATAACAAAAACTCCTTGTATAAGCCTATAACACACTTGGAAACTTGATGGGATCACTGAGACTTCTTCGTTGTAAATTTTAGTATTGGACGGGATCCCCTCCAACACATTTAAGTAACTTGTTATGCGCCATATAGGCTATTGACACCGATTTCTGCCTGTTTGTCTTTTTGGATTTGCTTGTATAGCCTTTGTCCAACCAGGAACAAGCTACACGAGGCAGCAGTTGTTTGATTTTGGAGTTGTCTCTCCTAGGGTTAGGGTTAGACTATCTGCCGTCCCCAGCTGTCGAGCTATCAGGAGACAAAACCATTAAAGCTTTATAGGATCACCAGAAGCGGAACTAGACCCCCCCCCCCGCAATTTTTTTTGGGTTTTGGGCCTCTCTATCTCACTTTCTCTTTATATATATATATATATAAAGATATAAAGATAAAAATATATAAAGATATATATATATATATCTATCTTTATATATATATATATATATATCTTTATATATATATATATATATATATATATATATATATATATATATATATATATATATATATATATATATATATATATCTTTATATATATATATATATATATATATATCTTTATATATATATATATATATATATATATCTTTATATATATATATATATATATATATCTTTATATATATATATATATATCTTTATATATATATATATATATCTTTATATATATATATATATATCTTTATATATATATATATATCTTTATATATATATATATATCTTTATATATATATATATATATATCTTTATATATATATATATATATATATATATATATATATATATATATATATCTTTATATATATATATATATCTTTATATATATATATATATATATATATATATATATATATATATATATATATATCTTTATATATATATATATATCTTTATATATATATATATCTTTATATATATATATATATCTTTATATATATATATATATATATATATATATATATATATATATATATATATATATATATATATATATATATATATATATATATATATATATATACTCTTCATGTGGGCCATGCAGGACAAGACGTAGACGCACGCCGTTAATCCCCCGCTCTCCAGGCAAATCGCTACCACCCCCACCCCCACTAATCTGGTGAGCTGTGGTTCACGACGGATGTTTACAATAGTAGAGCCGAGTTAGTTATCTATTAGGGGCAGATAATTTAGTATTAAACACTTTGAAACGAAGGGGAGGTAACAATTTCTGATTGATATTTTCTTTGTCTGTAAACGGCTGCTTTCACTGGGCGGGGTGGGGGAGGGAGGGAGGATGTAGTGTTGAATTCACAAATTATGAATTGCTGATAAGCAGAAAGTAAAACAACTAGATGGCGGCGTATGCTATGTCGCGAGTCAGCTCGTATATATATATATATATATATATATATATATATATATATATATGATTGTGAAGTATATAAATTGTAAGAAAAACATTTAATATAAGGTCTTAACTCATTTTGTACTCAACATAAATAAGTTTCAAAATATAAATTTGTAATTACTAATTCCTTGGTCGCCAATCAAATGGTGAAAAAGTGACGTCAACAATGAATGACGACAGGCTATGTGTGCCAGTCAACCCAGTCCACCTAATTGCCTCATTTATTCCTAAATGCGTGTTTTCTATCTTCTCCCACATAATTAGCCAACTATTTTTGTCACATTTCATCTCTCCCTCCCTTTCCCTGCCCTCACCACCCAAAGTTACTCTTCGCTAAAATGTCACTCATATACGCTAGTCGTTGGGGCCTGAATAGCTAGTTGATAAACAGTTTATGTATCTGTTTTCTGCTTGTGGGGCAAAGGATAGGGGTGAGCTTGTGATAGGTACTTAAAAGAAAGGGAAGAACAAATTGACTCACGTTCTTATTTTTTTTTGGTCTTAATCCTGTCTATATCGAAACGGGAGAGCAAAATTTCGAGCACTTCTAACCTATCAAGTTCTTTGAAATTCAGCACATGGGTCAAGGCCCAGTGACAATGCAATATGACATAATTGGATACCTAATAATTTTTTAATGAATTTTAATTAAAATTTTCTAAAATAAGTAGGTAGTCTTATCCAACTATTCCGCACTATTATACGCGCGTTATTATGTTCATTTGGTGCGTACTAGTTTTTAGTAATGCAATTCTATTATAAATTTACAATAAACCGGGAGTGATCACTTCTTAACGTTTTCGAATATTCTTAAATAACACTACGGGGGGTGGCAACTTTGGATATAGACATGATTTTTAATCCATTTTTAACTACATAAACTTTTTCAAGTAGAATGGAATCTCGTAGAAAAAAGAAATGCGAACCAAGTGAACGCCAAACAATATGTGTATAATAGTGCGGAATATTATTAGTACTTTATAAATTCACATGCGTTTTTGTGTGTGTGAGAAATTGGGAATAGCGTAAATTACACCTTCCGGTCAACGGAAATTACTCAAAATGTGACAGAAGGCATAGAATTAGATCTTTTACCGGAAATAGCTGAAAAGTTGATATAGAACTACAAATTTGATATAATACTTATATTTGAAATTTCATCAACTTAGCTGTAACGGTACTCAAGTTATCGTCTTCACAGACACACATACATACACACATATACACACACATGCGGACAAAATTGGAAAACTATGTTTTTCCGACTCAGGGACGATAACAATACTTCCTCTATAGGCCTACTTCGTATACGAGAAAGTAAAAACTAAAGTACTTAAATAGAGTTGCATGACTAATACTAAAATTTTAGCACCAACTTAACATGAAAAAACGCACGTAGTATAATAGCGCAGTAAATAGTACTTTATATAGGAAATTTAAATTCATACATAAAAAAAATTAATCAGGCATCCAGTTAAGTCAGAGTTTATGTCATCGGGTTGACTCACGTGAAACGAGTCTGTCAGTTAAAAATCATCGAAATTTTGCTCGGCAGTTTCGATCAGTGAAGACAGACAGAAAGAGCTTCTGTCTTACTGTTATATGAGAACGTAGGAGAAAGTTTAGGAAGATTATTGAGTAGCGAGACGTTGTATCGACTAACCTTTGGGGAAACCTTGAAGTTGACGTCTATAAGAATAAGAAGAAACAACGGGTACCAACACAAGGCAAAAGCTATGGCAGTGATGACAAAGATCTTGGCCCGGTGCATTGCCTCCTGTGTCATCTCATGAACCGTACAGGCTGACGGCTTTCGTCCCAGCCCGTCTGTTATTGTAATGGAATGACGGACTAGCATGGAGACGCGGTTCGGCCTGTTGAGCTGTATCTCCTTGTAAAGTTTATTCAAGAAATGGCCGACGCCCACAAAGGCGAGTGTAATGATGACAATCCACATGACATTGGCCACATAGCCCGTGACGGTGCCCAGCTGGAAGGCGCAGCTTCCTATGTCAGGATTGTACACAATGTCCCCCCCTATCAGTGTGGGGCCCAGATGGAGAATGACGCTGGTGATGTAGACGACGAGTAATCCAAAAAGAATACAACAACTGGTGCCCTGGGAATTGCCCCCGACGTTGACCTCACCGAATGTGTACGCCTCCGTGCATATCATAGCCACCATGTTGATGGCCGAGGTTGTGACGATGACGATGTAAAAGGAACCTTGGAAGTTGCAGTCCTCTGGCTCGTTCTCTTTCTTCTCGTCGGCCCCGCTCAGCAGGTTCAGGCCGAATGGGATGCAGAAAGCTGCCTTCAGAAGGTTTAAGAATCCAGCGTGGATGAGAAAAGCACTGGTCATCCTGTAGGGGACAAAAACAAAGTGTTCTTATAATCTATTTTTGGTCTCAGTAGAGAGAATTTTATTACTTGTTTGATTCTAGAAAAAAGAAAAACAGAATCAGCATATTTTAGGATCAAAGTCCCTCATTCACTTTGTTAGGAGCAAAGTCCCTCATTCACTTTGTTAGGAGCAAAGTCCCTCATTCACTCTGTTAGGATCAAAGTCCCTCATTCACTTTGTTAGGAGCAAAGTCCCTCATTCACTTTGTTAGGAGCAAAGTCCCTCATTCACTCTGTTAGGATCAAAGTCCCTCATTCACTTTGTTAGGAGCAAAGTCCCTCATTCACTTTGTTAGGAGCAAAGTCCCTCATTCACTTTGTTAGGAGCAAAGTCCCTCATTCACTTTGTTAGGAGCAAAGTCCACCCATTAACACTTTAAGTTAGGATCAAAGAGAGAATGACGTAGACAGCAGATAGAAATGATGAGGTCACCACAGAGAGAGAATGACGTAGACAGCAGATAGAAATGATGAGGTCACCACAGAGAGAGAATGACGTAGACAGCAGATAGAAATGATGAGGTCACCACAGAGAGAGAATGACGTAGACAGCAGATAGAAATGATGAGGTCACCACAGAGAGAGAATGACGTAGACAGCAGATAGAAATGATGAGGTCACCACAGAGAGAGAATGACGTAGACAGCAGATAGAAATGATGAGGTCACCACAGAGAGAGAATGACGTAGACAGCAGATAGAAATGATGAGGTCACCACAGAGAGAGAATGACGTAGACAGCAGATAGAAATGATGAGGTCACACGTAGTGCACAGAGAGAGAATGACGTAGACAGCAGATAGAAATGATGAGGTCACACGTAGTGCACAGAGAGAGAATGACGTAGACAGCAGATAGAAATGATGAGGTCACACGTAGTGCACAGAGAGAGAATGACGTAGACAGCAGATAGAAATGATGAGGTCACACGTAGTGCACAGAGAGAGAATGACGTAGACAGCAGATAGAAATGATGAGGTCACACGTAGTGCACAGAGAGAGAATGACGTAGACAGCAGATAGAAATGATGAGGTCACACGTAGTGCACAGAGAGAGAATGACGTAGACAGCAGATAGAAATGATGAGGTCACACGTAGTGCACAGAGAGAGAATGACGTAGACAGCAGATAGAAATGATGAGGTCACACGTAGTGCACAGAGAGAGAATGACGTACACAGCAGATAGAAATGATGAGGTCACACGTAGTGCACAGAGAGAGAATGACGTACACAGCAGATAGAAATGATGAGGTCACACGTAGTGCACAGAGAGAGAATGACGTAGACAGCAGATAGAAATGATGAGGTCACACGTAGTGCACAGAGAGAGAATGACGTACACAGCAGATAGAAATGATGAGGTCACACGTAGTGCACAGAGAGAGAATGACGTACACAGCAGATAGAAATGATGAGGTCACACGTAGTGCACAGAGAGAGAATGACGTAGACAGCAGATAGAAATGATGAGGTCACACGTAGTGCACAGAGAGAGAATGACGTAGACAGCAGATAGAAATGATGAGGTCACACGTAGTGCACAGAGAGAGAATGACGTAGACAGCAGATAGAAATGATGAGGTCACACGTAGTGCACAGAGAGAGAATGACGTAGACAGCAGATAGAAATGATGAGGTCACACGTAGTGCACAGAGAGAGAATGACGTAGACAGCAGATAGAAATGATGAGGTCACACGTAGTGCACAGAGAGAGAATGACGTAGACAGCAGATAGAAATGATGAGGTCACACGTAGTGCACAGAGAGAGAATGACGTACACAGCAGATAGAAATGATGAGGTCACACGTAGTGCACAGAGAGAGAATGACGTACACAGCAGATAGAAATGATGAGGTCACACGTAGTGCACAGAGAGAGAATGACGTAGACAGCAGATAGAAATGATGAGGTCACACGTAGTGCACAGAGAGAGAATGACGTACACAGCAGATAGAAATGATGAGGTCACCACAGAGAGAGAATGACGTAGACAGCAGATAGAAATGATGAGGTCACCACAGAGAGAGAATGACGTAGACAGCAGATGTCACCTTCTGAGATTTCGCCGAAGAAAGATGATGCTGACGACCAGCAGGTTGAGCAGCATACCCAGGCTGGCCACAAAGAAGAGGTAATACGCCTCTTGCCTTTGTGTTTCTCGCGGGTCCATGGCCACGATGTGTGGAGCTCCATCAACACTAAACCAACCCCGGCTCTCGTTCAATGGGCTCATGGACGGAGACCATCACAGTCCGCTCCGCAGGTCTCACCAATAGCATCACTGAAATTAGGAAAACGTAGGACAACAGTTGAAAATAGAAGCGCTTATAATAACAAATAATAATAAAGGCCAGGGGTCTCCAAACTACGGCCCGCGGGCCGAATGCGGCCCGCGAGGTCTTCTCAACCGGCCCGCGGAAATTATTTTGTCCACGGAAAAAAAATGTTCATAGAGGTTGCTGAGGAAACATTCAAAACTAATCGAAAATTTAGCATTGGGTGCAATTACGTAAATGTGGCCAGTTGCCCAGAAAATGTGGCCAGTTGCCCAGAAAATGTGGCCAGTTGCCCAGAAAATGTGGCCAGTTGCCCAGAAAATGTGGCCAGTTGCCCAGAAAATGTGGCCAGTTGCCCAGAAAATGTGGCCAGTTGCCCAGAAAATGTGGCCAGTTGCCCAGAAAATGACCTTCTTAAAAACAAGTTCAAATAAGGGCGGTGAGTTTTATAAGTATTTGCCCAATGAAGACTTTCCTAATATTAAAACGTTTGCATCAAAGTACTTTTAAGAGACGTTCTTCGGGTGAAGGGGGGGGGGGCTTCCGCCACCTCGAAGAGATGTTGAAGAAGAGATGCCTGGAAAAAAACTCTGGACCCCGAACTTATATTTGATAGTTAATGCGGCCCTCGGGCTGAAAAGTTTGTAGACCCCTGATGTAGGCCTATCACTAAAAAAATTTCATTCGTCGTTATATTATATATAATGAGTATCATCATAGGCGGGGCGGGGGTGCGGACCGCACCGGGTGACACTCCAAAAATGTGGAGTTGAATATTTTCGGATATATTGTTCTAGTTGATGTGAGATATTCAACTTGAATTTAACGGGACAACTAAAGCCATTTCAACAATCGCGTTTCAGGTGAACGACAACTGACCTAGACTGACCACGGCCTTTTATAAACTTCACATTTTTTTAAGTGCTTGAATTAGATCGACAACGTACTGATGGGACAAGAACTTGATATGTGTAAGGACATTTTCAAAAATATCATATTTACGGGATTGAAAATGAATATCTTAAAATTTGATCTCATAAAGGGACATAACAGCATCAAGAATTCAAACTTATGATTCCCCTGTTCTTTTTTGGCTACACACGCAAAACCAACATTGGATAAAAGAAAAATTCCTGTAAAATATAGAGTAAATTGTTTTCAAATAGCTAATTACCCCTGATGATTTATCTATGTCAATACCCTCAGCTCAGTTACGCCAGGGTTAGGGTTAGGGATTTGGCTATGGGGAAAGAAAGGAATAAATATTGGTATTTGTGTCACCAGAAAATTCCACAGGGGAGTTATTGAAAGGATGGCAACTGTGGGCGTAGGACCGGGTGGGGGTGGGTAACGTCTTACACACAGGTCAAGCTTTTCACATTTTAGATCAAATTAAGGTTAGATTTTAGTTATATGCTTATTTTAAGTTAGGTTTTAATAGTATTGTGGTAAATCTGTACATATTACTTGCCATTTTTATACATGCTGATGGCTTTGGTTTTTGTAGTAGATATTGAGTATGCTGTATGTGTAAAGTGTACAATTTCTGATGTTTTTTTTCATTGTTTTTTTCCCATGTTTAGTTTAGTGCTACTCTTTGCAATTGTTTGTTCTTTTGGTAAACGAACTTACATATCAGCGTTTACATTTGGACACAGATATAAATATTAGTAAAGGTATCCAATAGATAATAAACTGACCCAAGCTTTTCTTTATAGTTATTTAAATAGTAGTCTATAGTTATATATTAAAAGAAAAAAAAATTCTACTTTTTAGTGCAATATTACAAAGCTTGATATTAAAACGTTTTTTATGAACTTTTAAAAATAATTGAAACAAAAAGTTATCAAACTAGCTGTGAAATAAAATAAAAATGTCTTTAAAAAATATTTTTTCTATCTGCAAGTCAAATCGTTTATGCTCGTTTACTAAACGGTGCACATATTTCTTAATGGGAAATACTTTAAGCCGTGTATGTAATGTTGTCGACTTTTGAAGTGTACATCATCATCAAAATCCTTAATACGTGACATCCTATAAACATGGGACCATGGCCATATGACATCCTATAAACATGGGACCATGGCCATATGACATCCTATAAACATGGGACCAAGGCCATATGACATCCTATAAACATGGGACCAAGGCCATATGACATCCTATAAACATGGGACCATGGTCATATGACATCCTATAAACATGGGACCATGGCCATATGACATCCTATAAACATGGCCATATGACATCCTATAAACATGGGACCATGGCCATATGACATCCTATAAACATGGGACCATGGCCAGATGATATCCTATAAACATGAGATCATGGCCATATGACATCCTATAAACATGGGACCATGGCCATATGATATCCTATAAACATGAGATCATGGCCATATGACATCCTATAAACATGGGACCATGGCCATATAACATCCTATAAACATGAGATCATGGCCATATGACATCCTATAAACATGGGACCATGGCCATATAACATCCTATAAACATGAGACCATGGCCACATGACATCCTATAAACATGGCCATATGACATCCTATAAACATGGGACCATGGCCATATGACATGCTATAAACATGGGACCATGGCCATATGACATCCTATAAACATGGGACCAAGGCCATATGACATCCTATAAACATGGGACCATGGCCATATGACATCCTATAAACATGAGACCATGGCCACATGACATCCTATAAACATGGGACCAAGGCCATATTCCATCCTATAAACATGGGACCATGGCCATATGACATCCTATAAACATGGGACCATGGCCACATGACATCCTATAAACATGGGACCATGGCCATATGACATCCTATAAACATGGGACCATGGCCACATGACATCCTATAAACATGGGACCATGGCCATATGACATCCTATAAACATGGGACCATGGCCACATGACATCCTATAAACATGGGACCAAGGCCATATGACATCCTATAAACATGGGACCATGGCCATATGACATCCTATAAACATGGGACCATGGCCATATGACATCCTATAAACATGGGACCATGGCCATATGACATCCTATAAACATGGGACTCAGTGATATCAAAATACAAGCTTACTGAAAAGTGAGGTCATTGACATCTGAGGTCATTGACATGTGAGGTCACTGACATGTGAGGTCATTGACATGTGAGGTCACTGACATGTGAGGTCACTGACATGTGAACTTAGTAACATGTAGTCAGTGTATGAAGAACAAAACTTACCTTTGATTAGCCAACAACACAACTTTTAAATTGTAACTGTACAATCCATCCTAGTGTACATAGAAATACACCAAACTTACATCCTAGTGTACATAGAAATACACCAAACTTACATCCAAGTGTACATAGAAATACACAAAACTTATATCCTAGTGTACATAGAAATACACCAAACTTACATCCAAGTGTACATAGAAATACACCAAACTTACATCCAAGTGTACATAGAAATACACCAAACTTACATCCAAGTGTACATAGAAATACACCAAACTTACATCCAAGTGTACATAGAAATACACCAAACTTACATCCAAGTGTACATAGAAATACACAAAACTTATATCCTAGTGTACATAGAAATACACCAAACTTACATCCAAGTGTACATAGAAATACACCAAACTTACATCCAAGTGTACATAGAAATACACCAAACTTACATCCAAGTGTACATAGAAATACACCAAACTTATATCCTAGTGTACATAGAAATACACCAAACTTACATCCAAGTGTACATAGAAATACACCAAACTTACATCCAAGTGTACATAGAAATACACCAAACTTACATCCAAGTGTACATAGAAATACACCAAACGTACACCCGCTTTGTTCTAGACACTGTTTGACGTATGCTCTAATTAAATCTATCCAAATGAGATTGTCATTTACTTTTTGAACAACGCGGTCACATCTGTTGGCCACCATTGATTGAAACGGTTTCTGGTATGTCGACGCATATTTACCTCCCTTACCCGCCCCAAGAGAAGAAAATCAATTTTTTATTTTACTTAATAAATTCAGGAGAGAGCTGTAGGCAGATAGTGCATGGGGGAGGGGTGGGTAGAGATAGTGTATAGAGGAGGGGTGGGTAGAGATAGGGGAGGGGTGGGTAGAGATAGTGTATAGGGGAGGGGTGTGTAGAGATAGGGGAGGGGTGGGTAGAGATAGTGTATAGGGGAGGGGTGGGTAGAGATAGTGTATGGGGGAGGGGTGGATAGAGATAGTGTATAGGGTAGGGGTGGGTAGAGATAGTGTATAGGGTAGGGGTGGGTAGAGATAGTGTATGGGGGAGGGGTGGGTAGAGATAGTTTATGGGGGAGGGGTGGGTAGAGATAGGGGAGGGGTGGGTAGAGATAGTGTATAGGGGAGGGGTGGGTAGAGATAGGGGAGGGGTGGGTAGAGATAGTGTATAGGGGAGGGGTGTGTAGAGATAGGGGAGGGGTGGGTAGAGATAGTGTATAGGGGAGGGGTGGGTAGAGATAGGGGAGGGGTGGGTAGAGATAGTGTATAGGGGAGGGGTGGGTAGAGATAGTGTATAGGGGGGGGGTGTGTAGAGATAGGGGAGGGGTGGGTAGAGATAGTGTATAGGGGAGGGGTGTGTAGAGATAGGGGAGGGGTGGGTAGAGATAGGGGTGGGGTGGGTAGAGATAGGGGTGGGGTGGGTAGAGATAGTGAATGGGGGAGGGTGGGTAGTATTTGCAAGGGTGTGTAAGGGGGAACCAACTTACCTTTATAAATTCGTATCTTGGGTGGGACACAATGTATTATTTTTATATTCGTGAGATGTTCTAGGTCAGGTGTCTTTTCTGTGTTTAGGTCACGTGGTGGCCCTGTGTTTAGGTCACGTGATGGCCATGTGTTTAGATCACGTGATGGCCATGTGTTTAGATCTCGTGATGGCCCTGTGTTTAGATCACGTGATGGCCATGTGTTTAGATCACGTGATGGCCCTGTGTTTAGATCACGTGATGGCCATGTGTTTAGATCACGTGATGGCCCTGTGTTTAGGTCACGTGATGGCCATGTGTTTAGATCACGTGATGGCCCCGTGTTTAGGTCACGTGATGGTCTTTTGTTTGAACTGCGTGCTAAACCCGTGTACGACAGCTGGAGTGTTTTGATCCTACAGACAGATCGAACCAGCGACAGGTGGCCATATCGATCTCTTGAGCTGAGTCGATACCTTAGTGATCGCCGAGCCGATACCTTAGCTATCGCAGTGTGGATACCTTAGCTATAGCTGATTCGATACTTTAGCTCTCACTGATTCGATACCTTAGCTATCGTGGGTTCGATACATTAGCTCTCGTTGATTCGATACCTTAGCTATCGCGTGTTCAATACCTTAGCTCTCGCGGATTCGATACCTTAGCTATCGCGGGTTTGATAAGAGCGATATTGTTGATGTGAGGGCTCTAGTTATGGAGTGCTGTACAGCAAGGATGGCATCTCTGTATAAAACTTGTTGTCGTCGCTTCAAATTGACTTAGGACATGTCACATTTTTTATTGGTCGAACATAGCAACTACCTTCTTTTTACTTTCTCGTATATACGAAGTATAGAGAAAGTCTTGTAATCGTGCAAAAAAAAAATCGAGATTTTTACAAATCTCGACGTTTTACACCTCACTGATACGGAAAAACATAATTTTGCAATCTTGTCCGTATGTCTGTGTGTCTGTCTGTCTGTCTGTCTGTCTGTCTGCCTGTCCGTGTGTAAACACGATAACTTGAGTACCGTTACAGCTAGGTTGATGAAATTTCATATATAAGTATTTTATCAAAATCGTAGATCCGTATCAACTTTTGAGCGATTTCCGATAACCGGAAGTGGTACTTTTCCTACTTTGAATTTTTCAAAAGCCTATAACTTGAGTACTATTTCAGATAGATAAATGAAATTTCACATGTAAGTAAAAGATCTAATTCTCTACCTTCTGTTAAATTTTGAGTAATTTCCGTTGACTGGAAGTAGTACTTTACGCTACTTCCGATTTCTCAAAAAACTAATGTAAATTTTAAAAGTACTAATAATATTGCGCACTATTATGCACTTTTTTATTTGGCGTTCCTTTGGTGTGCAATTAATTTGTCTACGAGATTTTATTCTATTTTTAAAACTTTAAGTATTTAAAATGGATTAAAAATCATGTCTATAGCCCGAGTTCCCATCCCCTGTTATTTTATATAGAAAATATTCGAGAAAGTTTAGGGGAGATCACTCCCGGTTTATTTTTTAATGCATTCCTCTATTCTAGGTTTACAGATACGACAATACAGTGTGTCAAAGTCAGACCTGACTCACGTACGGGATGGGGGGGGGGGGGGGGGTGAGGCAGTCATATATTTAACAAAAAATTATTATAAGAACTTTACTTGATGTATTATTGTAGCTATCTAACTAATATTTGAATAAAATTTGCTTTTTTAATAAATTATGAATGAAATTTCATTAGCCATCAATGATTTTATTAAATGGCTATTTGAATGGTGCAATTTTTTGAATGGTCTAGCGTTATTTAAACGGTCCCATGTTTTTGAATGGTGTAACGTTATTTAAATGGTCCCATGTTTTTGAATGGTGTAACGTTATTTAAATGGTCCCATGTTTTTGAATGGTGTAACGTTATTTAAATGGTCCCATGTTTTTGAATAGTGTAACTTTATTTCAATGGTCCCATGTTTTTGAATGGTGTAACGTTATTTAAATGGTCCCATGTTTTTGAATGGTGTAACGTTATTTAAATGGTCCCATGTTTTTGAATGGTGTAACTTTATTTCAATGGTCCCATGTTTTTGAATGGTGTAACGTTATTTCAATGGTCCCATGTTTTTGAATGGTGTAACGTTATTTCAATGGTCCCATGTTTTTGAATGGTGTAACGTTATTTAAATGGTCCCATGTTTTTGAATGGTGTAACGTTATTTAAATGGTCCCATGTTTTTGAATGGTGTAACGTTATTTAAATGGTCCCATGTTTTTGAATGGTGTAACGTTATTTCAATGGTCCCATGTTTTTGAATGGTGTAACGTTATTTAAATGGTCCCATGTTTTTGAATGGTGTAACGTTATTTAAATGGTCCCATGTTTTTGAATGGTGTAACGTTATTTCAATGGTCCCATGTTTTTGAATGACTTATCTGATTAGAACAACAAAGCACTTTTTTCACTGCCTTGAAAACTTTCGACATTCAGAAAAAATGTTCTCAGTAAAACTGCACATATTTCAAACAATACAGTTCTAAGACATGAGCCCAGGTCATCACCCCTGACCTCTGACCCTTACAATGAATCTAGGACCTGCGTGTTTTGCCTCACGCGACTCTGCTCTCATCCTGCCAGACCCCCCCCCCCCCCATTCCTGTTCCTTGTGTGTTGAGCTACTGTTAAGTACAGATTGCCAGCCATCTTTTGAACTGTTTCTTCATTGATCTTATTCTTGTTGCTTTCCTCTAAAACCCACATCCCCCAAACACATGCCCCCCCCCCCCCTTGTACTTCCCTTCCCTGGCCCGTTTATTTTGTGCCGAATTCTAAACATAAGACTGGGTCACCCGTAGTCCTTGGAGTTTTATTGTATCTAAAATATTGGGTCAAGTTTATGAGATGCTATAACTGTATGAGATGCTATAACTGTATGAGATGCTATAACTGTATGAGATGCTATAACTGTATGAGATGCTATAACTGTATGAGATGCTATAACTGTATGAGATGCTATAACTGTATGAGATGCTATAACTGTATGAGATGCTATAACTGTATGAGATGCTATACCTGTATGAGATGCTATAACTGTATGAGATGCTATAACTGTATGAGATGCTATAACTGTATGAGATGCTATAACTGTATGAGATGCTGTAACTGTATGAGATGCTATAACTGTATGAGATGCTATAACTGTATGAGATGCTATAACTGTATGAGATGCTATAACTGTATGAGATGCTATACCTGTATGAGATGCTATAACTGTATGAGATGCTATAACTGTATGAGATGCTATAACTGTATGAGATGCTATAACTGTATGAGATGCTATAACTGTATGAGATGCTATAACTGTATGAGATGCTATAACTGTATGAGATGCTATAACTGTATGAGATGCTATAACTGTATGAGATGCTATAACTGTATGAGATGCTATAACTGTATGAGATGCTATAACTGTATGAGATGCTATAACTGTATGAGATGCTATAACTGTATGAGATGCTATAACTGTATGAGATGCTATAACTGTATGAGATGCTATAACTGTATGAGATGCTATAACTGTATGAGATGCTATAACTATAACTGTATGAGATGCTATAACTATAACTGTATGAGATGCTATAACTGTATGAGATGCTATAACTGTATGAGATGCTATAACTGTATGAGATGCTATAACTGTATGAGATGCTATAACTGTATGAGATGCTATAACTGTATGAGATGCTATAACTATAACTGTATGAGATGCTATAACTATAACTGTATGAGATGCTATAGCTGTATGAAATGCTATAACTGTATGAGATGCTATAACTGTATGAGATGCTATAACTGTATGAGATGCTATAACTGTATGAGATGCTATAACTGTATGAGATGCTATAACTGTATGAGATGCTATAACTGTATGAGATGCTATAACTGTATGAGATGCTATAACTGTATGAGATGCTATAACTGTATGAGATGCTATAACTGTATGAGATGCTATAACTGTATGAGATGCTATAACTGTATGAGATGCTATAACTGTATGAGATGCTATAACTGTATGAGATGCTATAACTGTATGAGATGCTATAACTGTATGAGATGCTATAACTGTATGAGATGCTATAACTATAACTGTATGAGATGCTATAACTATAACTGTATGAGATGCTATAACTGTATGAGATGCTATAAC